TTACGTACATATAAAGAACGCCGAAATCCGAGTTATAACGAAGAAGTTATGGCCCGTCGAAGTTTTGCGGAAAAACCGGCACGGCACCGGGAGACGTAAATAGTGAAGTTAATATAGAAGACTTTTTAGCCTTAGGGATCTAAATGAAAGTTTTAGAATATGTCTCCACCTACGTGTTTATATAAAGAACGTCAAAAATGGAGTTCATATGCAAAAGTTATGGCATTCCGAAGATTTAGCTTTTAAAAACCCTAAACTAGCTAATTCACGACGTGAGAATTATGACGCTCACGAAAATCTGTCATAATTCGGAATCTAGAAGCTGCGAGAGGATAAGATCCGATTTACGACATAAGAATCATGACGCTCACGAAATTCTGTCATAATTCGGAATCTAGAAGCTGCGAGAGGATAAGATCCAATTCACAACGTGAGCTTTATGACACTCACGACGTGAGGTGTCATGGCCACTATCCGAAGCTAGGGACGCAAATGGCAAGTCTACGGAGTGAATCATGAGATTCACGACGTGAGTCTTATGACACTCATGACGTGAGTGTCATAAAAACTTACTATGAATAGCATGCGAGCCATTCCGAAAATCTCACACCTTTATTCATTTCTTCTCTCTATAAGGGTTTTAACCATCCCATAAGCCTAGGTGATCCCTTAGCACCCTAAGGAAGCCCCGAGGCTCCCGGAGTCCTGAGAAAAAGAGTCTTTCGGTTTCGAAATGCTACTCCAGCAAAGACCGATTTTCTTTAAAATCCGCTGTAAGTGAGCTACGCCTACGCTATTTTTAATATAGCTTCTAATTAATTATAGTAATATTATTAGGACCTTAAAATAATTATTTGGGCTATTATTATGAGTTATATAGTGTTGTTTTATGCTTATATAATAATAATAATAATAGCTAGACTATTAATTAGTTGCGGTTAACGTTAGACAAAACCCTAATGGTATTGATACTAGATTTTTTCGAGGAAAATTGTTTTAAGAGTTACGAAGTACTGTCCGAGAACCGAGTCACCACCTACTCAGGTGAGTGCATAATTACTTTCATCTTACACACATATATGAAGTATTTTACATAAATTACGTGCTATGTGTGCATATTATCTGAATACTTGTTGTCTATGCTGGATGAATGATTTTATACATGTTTTAAATGATTTAAAATGTATATTTATTTTATATCTACAAATATATTGGGATAAAACATGGGTAGATGAAATAGTTGGTGTGTGATGAAATAAAATAATGAGATATAGGTGATGATAGGAAGGTGATGATAATTAGGTGAGGATAGATAGGTGATGATGAATCGGTGATGTAGGATACTACAACCTTGTCCGAAAATTTGGAGATGTAGTCATCTACCAGAGTATAGATGGTGACCACGGACTATTCTAGACAACCCCGTGGAAACACTAGCAGGCTCATAACCTGTAGGTGATGAATTACGAGTTCAGGCGATGTTGTGACTACGTGTTCATGCGATGATACCCTAACCCTTGTTGGGCACGTATTGAGGGAGTAATCCCTGAATCAATACTATCTATGTGATGTAGGTGATGATCCTTAGGGAGAGTCCTTAGGAAAAAACATATAAGGAAATACGATGTAAGGAGATGAGAGGAAAATATCATGTAGGAAACGACCCTTAGGATAAATCCTTAGGGAAGGTACTTAAGAATAAAGAAGATAATGGGGATGGGTAATTGGGTTAATTGTTTGTTGATTAAACATAATAATTATATTATTGTGGGTTGAAAACCCTATGTACTCACCACGTTTCCCAACCTGACCCACTCAATTTACTTGTATCACAGGTGACGATGTGAAGTTACATTACACTGAGAGATTAAGGAGATATGGATCACTAGTTTAAATGAATGTAAGTTATGTTTATGCTTATGTTTCTGTATTGACGATGACATTCCAAATGTTTTGAAATGAATAAAAATACATTTCTTCGGAAATGCTTTGATAATGAAATTATCATGTTTTTCTGGGAACAAATTCCGCAACGTTATTTACTAAAAGAGATACTCTGATTTTTTTTTATAAAGCATAAACAATAATCGGTCTTTTCTGGTCCTGAAAATGGGGATGTCACACTTCATATTCACTGGTTCACAGTAACGTTATTTTCTTTCTTTTTATTTGTTTCTGTCTATCTATTGTTCTACCTTGAGAAGAATAATCTGAATTTGTTAATTTCCTATCTCATCACGACATCATACGATTTTAGGGCTAATAATGCCTATCAGGAATTCAGGATTTTTAAAAATACTATTTCCTTGAAGCATCCTTAGTTTCATTTAGAAACAATCACGTATGAAGCATGATTCGTTACATGAAGAAAGAAAAGCGATTCACACTATGCTAATTTTTCATATTTCACATCAGATTTTCACTGATTTTGTTCTTCGATCGTGTTTTCTGACATTGAAAAGGAAAGTTGATTCTGGTATTTTCTATGTATAGAAGTCTTTCTCCTTTTGCAATGGGAATTGGAAGCACCCGATTCTTGACGAATGGTGGGTTGACATACTTACCAAACATTGAAGATGGTGATATTAAGGTTGCCTTCAAGGAGCTCATGGCTACAAACTTTTAAGGCGTCAATTGTCTCATCTTCGAAGACTTTTTCTTATAATTGAACCACGGTTTATGATTCTAGCAATGTTAAAAACTTAAAACGAGTTGTATTCTAAAGTTTCTTGATTGTGTAGATCCTTTTCACGAGGTGAAGAGAAAACGAGAAAAGAAAAAAGAGCTCAAAGATTCATCAGAATCAAGAACTTGTGGTGGTGGTGGGACCTCTAACCATGGGGGTAGAAGTGGTACAGACAGATATGGTGGATGTGGTGGCTCAAACCATTTTAGGTCTTCTGGTATACAAATGAAATGCCATAACGTGGAAAAAAATGTTGATTTCTATAAAGAAGTTAAGTTTTGATGCTTATAAAATATGAATCCTAATAATGAATGGCCCTGTATTGAACAACCACAACCTGTTAATCCACATCCCATAACAGAATACAAATCAATCAAACAAGCCGTTGTTAGGGCATGATACCAATGAGGTTGAGGTACAAGATGAAAGTTTCTCAGAAGATCAGAACGTCGATTATAACAATGAGAATGAGAACGAGTCTCACGAGGGTAATTTAGATACATTTTTTTTCAATCTTACAATATTAGATGCTTTCAGCAAATGAAATACAATTTAGTATTTTTTTTTTAATGATTTAAGTTACTTATCAACAACAAAATCCAACAATGGTATCATACTATTTTACGATCTATAATTTAAAATTTTTGAATCTCAAATCAAATATATAGATTATCAAATGAGTAATGAATAAGGACTATCGACATCAACAACCTTTTTAGTTTTCATTTTTAACTATTTTTTGGACAGATTCGCTCTTAATGTTGGTCAGGTTATGCATGCCCTTGATGTAAGAGAGCATGGTGTTTTCGGATATATTTGGCAATTCCCCTGCTTTCGAGTGTTCCTTAAAGTGGGCAACACAAAGAAGTTAACAACTTGAGAGTGTTGTTTTATGGGAAATCTTCAAATTGATTAATGTTGACATTTTTTTATTTTTGTTGGATTAACGGAAATATTTAGCAACATACTTCCATTGGAAGATTATTTCCAGAATTTATTGTATATATGAGTTGTAGGTTTCTTACTTATTTCTGAGATAAAAATATTTATTGTCTCGGGTTGAAATGGATTGCTGTTAAATATGATTGAACTGTGAAACTTCAAGCTACAGTTATATAGTTTGTTCACATTGTTGGGACCAAATGAATTCAATTGATTTCATGCTTTTAATATTTTAAATATGGTTTTTAGATGTTAATAAATTTTTGACTTTTGGTAGGTATTGAAGATGAAGTTAATTGGTTGGATGATCAAGAAATGCCTCCTTGTAGGTTACATGTCTAATGATTTGGCTCAAGGGCAATTAGTCATATTTGAAATTTTTTATCAACTTAACTATTAGATTTGGCATCTATGTATTCATTTTTAGTCTTTATTCCAAAACTAATGTTTGTCTTTAATTATAGTGCCGAATACATGAAACAACGAATGTTTTTTCCATTTCTTATTTTATTTATTAAATTTGTTGTGTACATATTTGCTTAATCCCACTCCTTAAGTGTAGAAATGTGATCCGACTTCCTGCATTCTTACCAGAAGCAACTGTCACCATAACTGTTTGAAATTCCTGCATCCTTACCAGAAGCAACTGTCACCATAACTGTTTGAAATACATGCACTCCAGGTTATTATTTATGTTACAATCCTTTGATGATATACAATTTAGCTTATCTATCTCCTTCAATGATGTACAACCAATAAATTCCTTGGAGTATATGCTATAGCATTGTATTTTGCTTTTTTCGGAAACAGTGGAATGCAAATCCAAGCCCGCAAAGCGGGATACTTCACTAGTTTTATGTAATTTTATCAATTTTAAAAGCTTTCAATTATTTTGCCAAACACTCATAAAACATATAAAAGTTCCAAATTCCAAATGTTCTAAATTTTATGATTCACTATTTTATTTAACATCAACAATGATGATTTTTGACCTAATTTCGCTGGCAAAATAATGTTCTTTCGATCCATTTGGGTTGGTGCATCTGTGGTTGTTTTGCATAACTCGCCATTTATTATACCAATCTCATGAGACTCTTAAACATCAAATATAATCTTGCTACAAAGACGTGTCAATGTCATTCTTTTATCAATCCATATGTTAAAGGAAACGCCTTGTGTAGTCTCAAAAATATATTATTTGCTCTAAATAACAATGCAATATCCAAATATTTGTTAAAAGTTTTAATTGAAATGATAAAATAAAGCTATAGAGCCGAATTGATCCATGGTTAAGATCTAGAAAGGGCAAAACTTTATAAATAGAATTGTCCACAACATGTATCTGTACATATGTCATGGACACAATCCTTTTCTATCTAGCATACAATAGTGTTATCATGTATTCATTGGATGATGAACCAAATTCTAATTCACGACAACTTTCTTCCGTGAAAAAAGCTGGTTGTTTAGGTGGAGGCAACATAACTTCACTAACAAACATTGAAACCACTGATGACATAGTTGGTCTATCTTCTGCATGTTGTTGCACACACAATAATCCAACGTGTATTGATCGTAGCACTTGGGAGACCACACACGAGCTGAGTAAAGATGCATTTATAAGTTCAATCGACTTGTCTTCTTTGTAGAGTCTCCATGCCTGAATGAAATCAAACTTCATACGATTATATATGCCAAAAGCAAAAAGTTAAAGAAAACACCTATTAATTTTTTGTTAAATTAGTAGGGATTTAATGTTTAACCCATTAAATGGAAAAAAACCCCTTAGGAGGTTGTTTCTTTTTTATTTGATGGACTTGACGGGTTAAACCTTATTGTGGACAAATACACATGCTATTTATTTTTGAATCAATTCGGCCAAATTTACTTACCAATTATGTGAAATAGTAATTGTTGTAAAAAAAATCGGTAGTAAAATTGTCATATAGTCCCATTTGATTTGTTTAAAAAGAAAGAAACATACTTTAACACTTTATCCAAACTTGCATTACTATCCATTCGGACACTTAAATCATAATGGGAAAAAGAATACAATTAGTCTACCAAATAAACTTACATGTCCAAGAAGGTTGTCGCTATGACCTTCTTGAGAGAATCCTCTGTTTTTCCTCCCACTCACAATCTCCAACACAATAACACCAAAGCTAAATACATCCGACTTCACTGAAATATGCCCATGTACAGCATACTCGGGAGAAATGTATCCACTGTCGACAACACCAAGTTCAATTAATAAAAACATATTAGAAACAAAGTTTCTCGTTTGTTAGTGTAACTTTCCACCTATTTTTTTGGAAAATACGTGTAATCAAACATAACTAATCTACTAATCCATGTTTTGTAGATTATTCTTACTATGTTCCCACAACGTTCCTTGTCTTAGCCATGGCATCCAATCCAACAAACTTTCGAGCAAGACCAAAGTCAGATATTTTTGGGTTCATTTCGCTGTCCAACAGGATATTAGCTGCCTTGAGATCTCTATGGATAATTTGGAGGCGTGAATCTTGATGTAGATAAAGAATACCTCGAGCGATACCATGGATAATATGAAACCTTTGTCCCCAGTCAAGCACTGAACTTGTGGTTTCATCTGCGCAATATATATGAACTAGTTATGTGGAATTTTAAACAAATTTGACATCATGGATTCCTACAAGAAGCTTGAAAGTAAGGTATTAGAGATCTAGAGTCGAACCAAAAAGAAACGAGTCCAAGCTTTTGTTATCCATGTATTCATAAATCAAAATCTTTTCATTTCCATCAATGCAATATCCAAGGAGCTTCACAAGATTTCGATGTTGAAGTTTGGCAATACACATGACTTCATTCTTGAATTCATCAGGTCCCTGTTGAGAAGTTTCTGAAAGTCGCTTTACAGCTATTACTTCTCCGTTTTTTAACACGCCCTAAAAGACAAAGGTTGCAATTCAGATACATCTTATATGAGGCTTTCTTTTTCTTTAATCATATGCATTGCATTTTATTCAAAATGGATTCATAAAGTTACCTTGTAAACAGGACCAAAACCACCTTCTCCTATCTTATTATCAATGTGGAAGTTAGCGGTAGCCTTAATTATTTTATTAAGGCTAAAAAAAGGTAGCTCATCAAGGTTTTCCACCTGATCATCCCTGTCTAGGGGATTTGTCCAGTAACCTACAAAATGATATGTTGATGTTCAGTTTCTCTTAATTGCATACAAAAAATACGACTTTTTTTGGTTAATTTAATTACCTCGTCCTTTGTTATTATTTCTACATGCATATGCTACTGCAGACAAAAGTAGTGCAACTGATGAAACTGACAGCACCACCACGATTATTAGCTTCTTCCTTTTGAAGCTGGATTTGCCTTTTGTAAATCAATACCATTATTAGTATGATAGTAATCCAAAGGTAAAGAATAGAGCGTTCAAAACAAAACAATTAAACCTACAGAATATGAACTTTTTGTAAAGATACCTTAGATGTGACTTTGTTTAAAATAATATTGTAAAAGCATTAACTATATATGACATCTTTTTGAGAGGTCCATAACATTTAGGTCATCGGCTATATATATATATATATATATATATATATATATATATATATATATATATATATATATATATATATATATATATATATATATATATATATATATATATATATATATATATATATATATATATAGGGTTAGGTTCATTTGAGACCACCTATATTTTGTGAGACCGTGAGATGCATTTTTTTATTTTTTTTATTTTTATTTTATTTATTTTTAGTTAATTCATGTTCCGAAAATAATATTTAAAAAAAGAATTTTTTGATTTTTCCATTTATTTTGCATTTTAAAATTATTTTTAGAATATGTACAGTGTAATATTCTATTTAGAATATTTCACGTATTTTTCAAAAAAAAAAATAGAATTTTATATATATATATATATATATATATATATATATATATATATATATATATATATATATATATATATAGTTAATTCAAGTTCCGAAAATATATTTAAAAAAAGAATTTTTAGATTTTTCCGTTTATTTTGTATTTTAAAATTATTTTTTAGAATATGTCAGTGTAATATTCAATTTAGAATATTTCACGTATTTTTTAAAAAAAAACGGACTTTTTTTAAAATTTTTTTTTTATATTTTTTTAATTAATTCAAGTTCCGAAAATAATATTTAAAAAAAGAATTTTTGGATTTTTCCATTTATTTTACATTTTAAAATTATTTTTAGATTTGGTTTCATGGTCTCACAAAATTAGAATGGTTTCAAATGAACCTGAATATATATATATATATATATATATATATATATATATATATATATATATATATGTGTGTGTGTGTGTGTGTGTGTCATATTAGTTGATGGGTCGAATATTCCATTGAAATAGTTATAAATCTTAAAAAGTTTATGATGATTTGGCACTCAAATTCGATTTTAAAAAACATTTGCAAGGCAAGTGTGATCGACAACCACTATATTAGAAGTTTGTTTTTTACATTTATGTAATTGACTTTATGGTGGATTGGTGTGAACAGGTAAGATAGGGTGTTATTTATTCATTTTAACGTTTTAGCAAAGTGGGCACACTTGTAGAATAGATCGGCCAAGAAGTGGTTTTATATATATATATATATATAGAGAGAGAGAGAGAGAGAGAGGAGGGTTCACTTGAGAAAAAAAAATGTTAAGAATGGGAGAACCATTCGCAGTCAATCATTTAATGAGCTTAAAAAACTCACAGTGACGAACTTGTAAATAATTCAAATACATTAATGAACGGTGTCAAATTTGTCTTGGACTCCATCAATATCTTCGTCTCTAATCTACACATCACCACTACATCTCTCATCCTACCACATAAGCAACCGTGAATTTGGATCACAGAATCCACTTGATGGCGACGATCTGGCACCGCCGTCAGAGGATACAATTTAGCACTCTATCTAGCACTACTATTGCAGATCCAACTCCGATTAGGGTTATCGTTTCCATCTCAGACAATGACGACCTCGAACTTCATCTTTTTCCTTCTCTAATGACCGTTAAGAGAAAATAAGCAGCGTTACAGGGCTCGATTTCCATGGCAACCACTAGTGTAACGGGAATAGAATGTGAAGTTGGAGTAGGAGCAGATGACGACGTCAACGATGAAAAACCACAACATTGTAGCTTCCTATAATCAACAGGACCAACATCTCTAGAGGAACACTCCCTCACCAGCCAAAATATCATGTTTTTAACATTTAAAAAAAATTAACTTGTATGCACTCCTACTGTTTGATGAAATGCATAAACTAAATTACCACGTTATATTCACATATGAATATGTTTTCTCATCTGAATCAGCATATGATTATTAAAAACACAAAACAAATATGCAGGTCTGTATGTTATTCATATGTGAATAACATATAAAAATTATATATATTCATATGTGATATACTATGTAATACTATGTAGTATTCACATATAAAAATATCATTTAATATTCATAAGTGAATATATAATCTAATATTCACAAGTGAATATATTATGTTAACATTCACAAGTGAATGCATCGTCTAATATTTAAATATGATTATACGATGTTTATTATATGCAATATTTATATATGAATGATATTTAAATTGTAAAAAAATTAATCATACTTTTTATTCATAAGTGAATAACGAATGTACTGTAATAAAACCTGTTGCATTTCTATTCACTTATGAATAACGAAAGCTGAAAACATATAAAAAAAAATTATTTTATTTTAAAACTATATTAATATGGATGTTTATTTGTAGAGAATAAAAAATCATGAATTTTAGCATATTTTAAATCATTTTTCGATAAAAATAGCTTCTTAAAAATTTAAAAAAAAAAAAAAAAAAAAAAAACGAAAAAACTATGTTTTTGTATATCTTAAGACTTAAGGTAATGATTATCATAGATTAAGGAAACATGTTTTGATAGAAAACACATGTTTATTCATTTCCCATTTCCGCTGGTACAACGGAGGTTTTTGCGGTAAAAATAAATGAGTGACTGAAAATGATTTCTTAATATCAATTTTTTTATTTTCTCAATTGAACTTACTTCTCTCTCTCTCTCTCTCTATATATATATATATATATATATGGAAGAGTTATATGGAAAATGAATGATTAGGGCAACACATATTTGAACCAATGAAAACATGACAACACATCACTTCCACAATAACGTTCACAATACATTACTTGTGAAGAAAGAAATGGACACGTATCATTTGATTATTGATTCCGGTAAATGTTGCCCTAGTTATTTGTTTTCCATAGAACTCATTCCTATATATATATATATATATATATATATATATATATATATATATATATATATATATATATATATATATATATCAATTGCTTCTTTATGTAATAAATCTTCACATTACCTCTTACTTTTTAGCTATTGAAATAGAGAGTGTTAAAAAAAAATATTTGGATTAATTTATCAATACCAGAACATAATAATTTTATAATAGTTTTTGAATTTTTTTTTGTTTATAATCATAATTAAAATGACCGAATTAGTCTATTTAGAGATTTTTATGGTTAAAGAAATTAAGGGCTAAAATTAAAATGTGCTTTCTATCTTAATTAGGACTTTTAAATATATGAGAGATTAACTTTTAAAAATCTTATTATTTAAGTTAAATTTTCTATTAAAAGACTTAAAATAGTTTATTAACGTGTAAAGACCAATAATTCAATAAATATTTTAAATAAGCATCCAACCCCAATGAATTACACCATTAAAAAACTAATTAATATGTTGAAAAAGATACATGTTTGAAAAAATATATATTATAAATTTATATTAAATGTATAAATTATACATGGGATCCATTTTATCAATGATCATGCTAAACAAATCTCCATTTGCGTGTTCAAACTAAATAGTTTTTCGCAATAACAAAACCTAATTAAAATGTCTAATCGATCGTAAGGATTATGTAACTTTTTTTTTTTTTAATGTTTAAGATCTTGCGAAAATGACTTAATGGTTAATTTGGCTCATAACATTAGCAAGAAATTACATATCCAGTCCATTTAATGGTAATACTCACTCTTAAATATAGATCGAAATGTGTGTACCTGGTAACTCAGATGTGGCCATTCTAATGTAAAGATCTTGATTGTCATCATACTCTCTTATGTCCATGAGTTCATCCAACCATAGCAAACATCCACTTCCTCCTTCTCTAACATCTAAATTTGCATAAGCTCTACAAGAACAATTCCTTCTGCATGCCATCTCACATTCTCTAAGAGACATGCTCACGTTGTACCATGAATGTTGCGTGTCTGGAAATTTCACTCCTGAAATTTTCTGAAATCCATCTTCCTGAGTACTCCCACATTCAAAATCCTTTCTACGTTGACACCCACTTGACCAATCTCCTGAATTCCATTCTTCTATGACTTTTGGCTCAAAACCTTCCATACAATTGCATGGAGGATATGTTTTCGTACTACACTTTCCATAAGGACCACATCGTCCATATTGACTACAGTTATCAACAACGACATTTCCGTATAAAACCCATTCTTGGGTTCGATTAATCCAACTGAATTGAAGATGGGTTCCATCCCATGTAAGAATTATCCTCTGAAGAACTGGACTTTTAAGTTTATATGTATAATACATTTCCTTTTCGTTGACAACAAATTCAACGGAAAAAATGGGATTGGTGTTTTCTCGAGGAAGCCCACTAAACCCTTCACCATTCCATGGTCCAAATCTTGAGTGTGGAACTTCATCTTCTACCTCAAATGTCTGTGGATACCCATCTGTGTTTAGAAAGACTTTATATCGACCTATAGAAGGATCATCAGGGCTCTTCCACGATGTTAAGTTCTTCTGTATTCCTGTTCGCAAATCCTTCCCTAATTTCTGTCCTGGTAGCAACGTGTCTCCGGGGTAGTCAAAACTTTGCCATATCGGAGCTTCTTTGGTGTTCGTTTCATCCCACACGACAAGATTTCCGCTGTCAAGAAGCTGTGCCACCGGAAGATTAACATTCCTGATCGACGATTTGGATGACCAGATTAGGGTATTGTTACCACTGAGAATTAGAAGCTTTCCTTCATTACTGAGTTGAAACTTCCCAGATGTGTCGTTGATTGGTGTGTCCCTGTTAGCAATCCACACAATGGTGAAAGTTGAGACGTGTTTGTACCATATCCCCAAGTATCGATTCTGGGACTTTCCGAGGTTGAAAAAACCAAGTTCGTACGTCTCACCTTCTGAAACGAGGGTGTTGCCATCTTTGATTGGTTGATTTGGAGATATTGTATCTAATGCAGCCGAAGATGATAAGAGAACGAATAAGGTACTGGAGAAGAACATAAGGAATGGGTATATCTCCATTTGAAAAGTGTTGTTGAAGATTTGTGGGAGTTTTGTTGGAGAAGAAGATGGTAAAATATAGTCAAACTCTTTGCCGAATCCCTAAATATAATAGGGAGAGTTTTGTTGGATTTATGTGATTACGTAATTTGTGTGAGATTATGAAGTCTGGCGTTATATTTGATAATTTCATAGCAATAGTATTTAAAATATTATTTCAATACAATACAATTTTATATTTCGTTGTACCGTGTTTTTTAATGGTCGCTTCTTGAATATTTGAATTTAATTTAAGTCCTCCACAATATATTGGTATACAATTTTATTATTTTTTCGAATTCTATAAAGTTCAATAAAATGTTACAAAATATAATTTATAGTAAATATTTAAGAATTAAATTTTTTTTTTTCTGTTGAAAAGTTTAATGGTCACTGGACTTCAAATCGATTGAATGTCAATCTGACATCTCACAATGGTAAATTTTCATCAATTGAATGTCATATAGACTTGTCTCCTCATTCTACTCTCTCATTAAACTCACTAGTATGGATACTCTTATAATGATTGACTTGTTTTTGGACCGAACACCAAAATAGTTAAGGTGGGCCATAGTAATTAGGTCGGTCGTAAAAGAGTTTTGGGGGTTAACGGTGCAGAATGTTAGAAGTGTTTGAGCGTTTCTAACTTCTACCGTTTGACAAAACGTTCCATTTTGAACAGGAAGTTTTGTTTGATACTACAAGTTTCTACGTTTACTTTAAACAAAACGTTCAAAATCCAAATGTTACTTCACGTAATGTTTAACATAACGTTACCCGCAACCAGTTATTTTTGCCGAGTGTTGAATATTGTGGAAACCTTTATATATATATATATATATATATATAACGAAAGTTAAACCAATATATCAAATAATTGTAACGCTCACAAAAGACCGAAAGATGAAAAAAAAAAAAAAAAGTAAACAAACAAAAAGGGTTGTAAATTATTAGAGTGTGACTTGGAATTTTTGGAATTTAGTGATGTGAATAGATAACTCTACCTAGAACGGAGTAAAGAAACTCAAATGGCAATTTCGAAAGAGACTAATGTTTGGAGTATATGGGTTTGACCCAAAAGTTGTTATGGTTTTTATGTTTATAGGTATTTATAAGTAGGTTTTCAATGTATCGATAGAGTTGAATAAGCATAGGCCTCAGTTTTTGTCTTTAGACTAAACCAAACCATGTTAATTTTTTTTTTCACTCTTTTTTTCTTTCTTTGTTTGCTTGCACAATATAAATAGAATATAAAATGTAGAAAAACATGGTTGCAAGCTAGTGGGGCAAAAAAGTTGCACTTAACAACGTTGCTACGTTGCTGACAGCCCAGAATAACTCTCCATAGTTTGAGTTAAGACATGTTTGAGGTCCAAAAGCTTATGCATTTGCATTCATTACAAAATACCATTAAGAGGTTATTAGGAACCCAACTATTGTCAGCAAAAACATTTATGAAAACTTAATCACAAGAAGCATAGAATCCTTAACTTTGTAAGATTCAATTATAGAAAAGTAAATAATACAAGCAACTAATCAAGCCTACCGCTTTTGACTTCAAATGCGCAGCCTGTATCTTAATCATCTCTGATTTGAATAGATATTCTTCATGCAAGGTCCCAATCAAGTGATTACTATTAGTGCTCCAGGAACACTGAACATTAATTAACTCACGATGAACTCTTAGTGATCTAAGAACATTGATCAATTAACCCACGATATACTTATTGACAAATGACAATTAAATATTAATAATTGCCTCACACTGTTCACGGAACAGTCTCAAATGGACCCCAAGATGTTCCACCATCCACTTTTCCTAAGAAGTACGAAAACACAAAACTATCTAATTGATGACATGTCACTTGAAAATAATACCTAAGTGGCCAAGTGGGAATTTAATGAAAAATAAGAAAAACATGAAGTGGAGCTGATAAAAAAAAAACGTAGCATGCTTAGGTTCCAAAGTGAGGCTATTTCCGAAACAAAGACAAACATAATTACAAAACTTGATAACAACAAAATTATTTGCATGGAATAAAAATGAGCACTTGCAATGTTTCAACGATGCTCATACAGATATCAAAGAACCGGTGACTTTAGTATTTGTGGATTAGCTTAGTGAAATAAAATAATCTACACACTACTAAAAAAAAGGGAGCTATTCCGTTGTCATTTCGGAAGGATTTTTCAGTCCTTTTGTTGTCCGAAATTTCCCCTTTTGTGGTAGTGACATAAAATGCTGCAAAAAATCAAAACATCTCCAAGACCAAAGAATCTCCATGTATTCTTTGTTGTTCATCGTTTAATCCAACATATGATGCAAAGTATTAGTCAAGCTTAAGGTTCAACATCAAAAATAGCATAAAAATTGAGAACAATGTGGTGGTTCAGAAGTCCACTGTCAAAAGTTATCTTTAGGGTTGTGTCACAACTTAGTAAAATTATTTGATCTTTATATGATTTTTGATCAACAAGTAATGATCATATACCGTCAAGCAATCTTAAAATGTGAACACCATCAATCATCAGTCGTGTAACTATCAAAGTCAACAAAGTCGTGTAACTACTAACTACCTGTCAAATTATTTGACATTTTTATATTTATTTTATGAACACTGTAATGATATTTCCCAGTTTTAAAATGTGATCGCCATAAATCACACGTTATATATACTGGTTGGAAATGTCAACAATCAAAGTCAAAAGGGTTGTAGCACAACTTATCAAACTATTTTCTTTGATCAAGAAGAATGATGTTATGGATTCTTTAAACATTTAAAAATTTACTCTAAAGATTTTTTTTTGTCACATGTCGGTTATTTTAAATTAGTTTTTTCATATATCATTTATGTTTTTTTTTTCATTTTATTAAATTCATATAATACTTAAATGTAATAATTACAATAAATTTAAAAGCATCATTAGTTTTCTTTGTTTATTTATCTAAATTACTTGTTTAAATTTAAAAAAGAAAAAAAAAAACCTTTAATTTTAATAATTCAATATTTTTTATTTTTTTTTATAAATTCAAACTTTTCAAATATTTAAAATTTCATATATTTTTTAATGAACTCATGTATTACATGAACCTCACACCTAGCATTGTTATATAGACCAATTTATAAATAAAATCTTGGATTTTGGATCTTAACTAAACAATATAAAATTTAATTTATGTTTTTGTTTTTTAGTTCCTATTTTATGTTATTGTCATTTTAATATAGTAATTTGATTTATTAAAAAATATATACAATTTTTGATAATTAAACTATAAAAGCTTCGTCCAAACTAGTAAAATGATAAACATATGAATTTATTTCATTTCTTATTAAATTTATCACAAAAAATCTATTATTTATAATAAAAACAACAAGAGAAGATTTCAGCATCGCAGGGGTTAGAGATTATTCCTTTGCAAAGTATGATTTCATACCAGCCGATAACACGGATCATTACAAGCTTTGTCGTCTTTTTGAGACTCATTAGAGGTAGTGAACAGTTGTGGTTCCGACTGGCAATAAATACAACAAATGAAAATATATGCATCAGTTATAGCATATACACTTGATAGCTGTAAAAAGGTTACAATAATTTTTTGAAGGGTAAAAATGCTTACGGGAGGGATAGTGGGTTGGGAATTGCCATGGAGATTACAGTCAGATACCTGTGAATTTAAGTTTCTATAAAGACATTAATTTGGTTTAGAAAGGGGAAAAATTGGAAAT